GTTGCTCCTGGGTTCAAGGTAAAGGGTCCTAGGCTGACACAGAGTTCTTGAAAGAAAGTCACATATAAACAACATTCCACAAAGGATCCCACGACTATTATTAGTATTAAAGGACCCACAAGCAGCACTAGCCCTGTAGCGCTTGCCAAACTGCCCAATAGTTGCACACATAGTTATGGGATGACTTTCTGAGTAAAGTACAGATTCTCATGCGTGATCTAGACTACCAGTTGTCGGACTTTCATGTGAAGGCAATTAGGTGCCTCACTCTGGCAGTATGGGTTCAAATCCCGGGCCGGGACTCAACCCAAAAAAGTACGAGAATCTGTACTTTACTCAGAAAGTGTTATCCCAAATATAACACATGTTACATTTGGCCACTTTCTAAATGGCATTGTGTGTTAATTCTGTAATTGTTCCAGTCTTTAAGATGCCGTATACTTGACTCTGGGTAAATGGCTTGTGTAAAATACTATCCCTGATATCCTGTGATATTACTGAAATGCTGTTCATTAAACCAAACCCACTCCTTCACACAACAGCCAAATAGGACATAGGTTGTGGACATTTATGACTTTTATGAGACCATAAGGCACTATAAATGGAAAATGGTAAGTTCAATAAGACAAATCTTAGGCTTGCCAACTGGTGATATGATCTCTAGCACTGTCATTTACAAGCAATATTCTACTACATGTATTTATGATGTGGGTGAACAAACAAATCTTACTTTAGCAGACTGGTGATATGGATTAGACCCAAATAATTAATGGTGTCCTCCAACTGAATATGCCGAACCAGATATTGCCTGAAACAGTATTGATCTTGTGGTTGTGTAAAGCACACACAGTATATACTACATAGCTAGCTAGTGGTGTGGAAAGTGGTATAGCCTATAGCTAGCTAGTGGTGTGGAAAGTGGTATATGGGAGGTATTGGGGAAACTGTGCAATTGCTAATTGATTTGTGATATTGTGTACTGCATGTGTAGGGTCAGTCAAGATAACATCCCGTATTACACCTCTTAGTATCATGTTGTTTGCTCAACACCCTCAAGAGCATTGATCTGAAGTAAGAAGCACTATGTTGAACCCATTCACTATATATATGATTCTTCCCTTCAGTGCTAGAATGTAATTGATCAGTGTTTGAATCCCAGATTGGCCTTGCTTATGATCCTTGGTATTGACAGCACCACTGTTTATTTGAGTTTCTGTGTTGAGTGCAAAGATATGAATTTGTGGGAGTATTTGGGTCATACCATCAATTATTCCTTGATAACCATGAACTTGTTAATTTTAGACCTTGTTGATTTGTATTACTGATTTTCTTAATCTTGTTTATTAATCAATATGTCAAGAGTGTTGAGATGATTGATAGAGAGGTAGGAGTCTAAATAAAAAAATGCTGATTTGAGGTTAATATGCAAAAGAACAAACTTACAAACCAGATGAAACAAAACAGTTTTAGCCTTACCAGAGCTACCACTATGAACTTATAATGGAACTAAATCTGTTATCATTGTAAAGAAAGATACTTAAATATGTTAAAAGGAAAAGATGTCTCTAATAAATTGCAAAGTTTGAAAATGTACACGAAAATCTGGACATTTGTTGCCCAGTTTGGATATATTCAGGAAATAATGCTGGATATTCAATCCTCACCTAACATTAATATTAATCTGGTACATAATATTCTTAATCGTCACTCTCATTCTTAATTCACCAAATATGATGACCATCAAAGTGTTCAATATAGGGCTGGGACAGGTAGCTCTGGTACTCAGGTCGGATGGGTCCAGAGTTTGACCCGGGTACCCACAGTACTACCCAGACCCGTGGTTAGTCACGTGTTAAATTGTTTAATGACAAAAACTCACTGCTTGGTTACACTAACAGTCGCTAATGTCCGCATTTCATGACGGTGCGCACATTCCTTTTGACTTGTATATGTTTGAATAAAGATAAGGCTTCCGCCAACTTCAGTGTACGCATGATCTGATCGTTAAATATATGTATCTAAATAGTTTTTGCCAGGGCTGCGGTAAAACAGTTTCCAATCAGACATTTTGTTCCCAACTCTTGAGACCTACAGTGGGTACCCGGGTAGGGTCGGGTATTAGGGGTTGGGTACCCAGGTAGTACATTGGACTCGTCCGAGCCCTAGTTCAATCCATTCCTCATACTATCTACAACACTGGTGACTTGATGCAGTGAGACAAACCAATGTCATAATGGCAGATCTTTCTCCATGTGACTAATCAACTGAGGCAATCGACCAATCACAGGCATTGTGAACTCCTGGCTCCATCTTGCGCCCATGTTCAGGGTGACATTCGAGTCAAGGTGTACAATGTGTACTCATGTGTAGGCGTATTCAGTGTATTCAGAGTATTCAGGGCATGTAGGCATTCATTTTGTCCTTGGGGGGCCATCTCAAAACTTTCTGCCCACCTTTTATTCCTCACGCGCCTCATCGTCATGGTTACAGCATGTAATCAGTCATGCTATACACTATTATGTTTCTGAGCTTAATCAGGGTTTGTCTAGGGTTCCCCTTGAGGTGATACTCATCAAGACTTGAATGTACGCAGGTTGATGTAGGTAATCACGAACAATTGTGTGGATGACAGCCTCCCAATGCCTATTTACGCTTAGACGTTTCAGTGCAGATAGATACAATCACAGCTGATTGATCCACTCGTTGCTGCACTGATACATCACCTTAGTATGCTGAAAGTAAATAAACCCACTGGGGATCCTGGGTTAGCAAATGTCCTCAACAACCTATGCGTGTCATAAGAGGCGACCATATGGATGGGTGGTCAGGTACAGTGACTGGTTGATTTCGTGTCATTGTACAGGATGGCAATATCAATCACTGGTTTGTCATATCCAGACTCAATCATTTACAGGCCAGCAACATATAGCTCTAATAATGCTGAGTGCAGCATTAAACAACAAACAAACATAAGAGTAAATATTAACTTTGCAGTGTCCAATATTTGGCATAAAAGTCGAGGGGTCCTTGTGATTGGGAGTTACAGATTTAGGGGTCCCTTGATTCAGAGCCTATGGCAGCAAACCTCAAGCACGCCTATAACTTTAAACGGTGCTTTGTGATTAGATACTTGTCAGTCATACCAAGGAAAGAGTCACAGAAAATTCCCTGTTTGTCAGTCATAAACCTGAAGTTGAAATTTCCAGGCTAAATCAATGTTATGAGGATACTGTTAGCCAGAAGAACCTGTTTTCTTTGATAAACATTGATACAATTACCTGCCGTTGTAACAATTGAGCCAAAACGATGAAACACACATCTCATCATGACCATGTCGATCATATGATTGGCAAGGTGGCCCAGTGATTTGGCATTGCAACTCACTACGATCCACTAGTCATGGGTTTGAACCCCAGACAGCGATAGAAGTAGTCCTACAGTCCTTTCCAAACTGCCCAATAGTTAAGGTGTCATATGGACTAGTAGAAATTTGCCTTTTGTAAATGTTTTGTTACTTGTCATTATAAGGACCAGGGGACAAAAATCGTTTCTATCGCTGCTAGGTATGTTTATGTTACGTACCTTGTCTGTCATGGTAATCAATGTCTGAAATTAAGCACCAAAGTCATAGGGTCCCCCTTGTCATAGCTTTAATGTTAAAGGGTAAACATTTTGGGGTCCCTAGATTCAAGTACTGCAGGAACAAACCCAAGAGGGCAGGACCCCCTTCATTTTTAATACTGATACGAATAAGATAAAATATTTTGAAACCAGCCCTGCATGGAGATCAATAAAATTGATTGGGTTTTGTAGCAATAATCCATGGAGAGATATTTTTTGTGCAATACATTATCTTCTTCCTCCTCACCTGGTGTTGTGTATTCCGTGTAGGCGCCATTGATTCCGTCACGGGGCAGATCACATTGGTTGCTAGGATGGCAGAAGCAGCTATTGTCTATTTTGATGCAGTTTCTCTTTAGGCGACTTTAAGTTCAGTGTCCATTTGTTGAAAACATTCTTCATTGATGAGTTTCAAATTAGTTACCAAGATGGGATGATGTGAATGGAACGTTTGATTTGATTTGATTGAATGAGACTTTGAGAGCGAGGGAATGAATGGAGATGGAGGGAGAGAGAGAGAGAGAGAGAGAGAAAAGGGGGGAAGTATCTGAGGAATGGCTGATCGAGAGAGGAGAGAAACTAATACTAAATAACTAAAGGGATTGAATGAAGGATTGCATGAGAAGGAACATATGAAGGATATACATTTTACTTTAAATTGGGCCAACTTGTCAGATAAGCTGCAGAGTTGTGTCCCTTGGGCATGCAAGAAACCTATGAACACAGGTTTGAACCCCAGATTAACCCTTATGTTTTCAAGTTTGTCAGCATAATAACTCTGCACAGTTTCATTAAAGTGTTAAACATGAAAGACCTGCATTAATTCTGGCTTTCCTTCCACCTCAGTAATATAACCATGATTACTAAAACTGGTGAAAGCTACTTGTAAACCACGACTCACTATCTTGGGGCTGATTTGTCACGAAATTAATTACAACTGGCAAAGGTGTGACCAACAAAGAAAATTCAGTTAACCTGAAGCTAAACAAGCTTGCAAAGCCTTTGTTCCACCATAGTGCTTATCATACCAATATGGATTCCGTTTGTGTTACATGTCCTAAATATGTTTTTGAAGTTTCACAGTATCCATGGTATACAAAGAGTAATTTCATATCATAATTGTAAAAGGTGACTATGCTTGTCGTAAGAGGCGACTACGGGATCAGGTGGTCAGGCTCGCTTACTTGGTTGATGCATGTCATCATATTCCAACTGCGTGGATGCTCATGATGTCAGTCACTGGATTGTTTGGTTCAGACTTGAGCATTTACAGACCGCCGTCATATAGCTGAGTGCGGCGTTAAACAACAAACAAGCAAAACAAATCGTGTCATAATTTTGTTACAATTATCACTTACACATTCTTCTCTATTTTTCAGGAAGGGTTTGTAGCATTTTACGAACAAGGCCCAGAGAAGCGAAACGAGAACCCTTGGCCTTCATTACGGCAGATCTGTGGATACGCAGCTGGAGCCATAGGGGTACTTACCCTGGGAGCCATTCTCACGCAGAAGTCCTGACGCTAGTAGGGACAACAACACCATGCGACCAAACTCTCTGTCAATACTTTGGAGATAAATATGTGTGATATTTATTTCCTCAGTTGTGAAATCTGGCTTTAAATGTGTGGACCCAAATCAGTTCTCTAGCGGTATTTGGCTTTGTTGTTGTCTCTCTGTCTGTGTGTCACAACATGATCAGTTGGACTCCCAGAATGCAACAGCCATACAGGAAGTGGATCAACAGTTGAACTAAAGTTTGGTGTTTCTCCATGTATTGTGGATACATGTATACAGAATCTTCTGGATGACCTCATACTTCCAACATGTCAGTTGGGAAAAAGACAGTGGTATAAACAGTTTTAAAATTCTTGGGGGGAAAACGCCATGAAATGGATATGGCATTTGTCTTTTGTGAGATGCTTATGACATGAGCAGTGAACTCATTATGGCTGAATGCTAACTAATTCACAAGACGGGATAAACAGGGATATATATTGAATTATTAACAGCAGGCGTCAGACATGTGCGACACTTATTCACAAGTGTGAGTCATAATGGCGAAGTGATTTTAATAACTTTTCAGGGAAGTTTTTACAAAATTTGTAGGATACATGTTCATCTGATGTTATGAATGCCTTTTATTTATTTCCTACACAACAACTCATTCATTTTATTAATTAATTCATCATAAATATTAGTCGCTAGCCAATCGGTACTCTTCAACCGTTTCCTTTGTTCTTTATTATGTTGTTTTCATCAATCTGTTTCTGATGCAGGCGTGTTCATTGTATGTAAATGTCATGCAATGCCTACTGAAACAGTTTTTGAGTATTATGAAGAATTTTATTGACCTATTTCTGTTGTTACATATTAAGTGTATAAGGCCTGACAAAGATTCTGATGTGGATGTGCTTGTCTGCTGCAGTACCTTTGTAATTGAGGTTGTTAGTTTAAATGAGATTGGGACGAAACAGTGAAATACTGTTATTTGCAGAAATAATTGGTGGAGCTGGAATGCAAATGTATTTTCTTTGCTTTGTTAAATGTTAAATGCTATTACTTATAATTTATATTTACCAGTCGATAAAAGAAATCATGAACACATGAAAATGAGGTACTTTAGTTGTCCTATATTGAATCATATCATACAAACTCTTAAACAATATGACATGTGAAGGCATGTGACAGATGACCTAGCTTTAACAATTGACCTACACTACCCTGGTCCCCGTTCCACTAAGCCATCTTAGCGCGAAGGTGATCGTAACTCCCATACTTTAACACTGGCTTACGATAGTCGTAGCGCTAAGATCGCTTTGTGGAACAATGCCCTGGAAAAGTTTCCGAGGTTGTGACGAGATTCACAACATCAAACTTAACTCTTAAAGAACCGTTTTAGATCACCAAAAGGAATGACGAGGGACTTGGTTCAAACAATTATCAAGGGTGGATACAGCATTCTTAAAAGGGAGGGGTCCAAAGTATCCAAATCCTCTCTGTGTGCCTCTCTGTGTGCGTGCGTGCGTGGGTGGGTGCGTGCGTTCGTGCTACAATGAAAAGGCAGGGGACTCTCTGGATCCGCCTATGATTATGGTAAATTAGTGTCTTTTTTACAATTACATGTATAATCATAATAATGTGCTCCCCATATCAATAGCAGGGGCATGGGTAATGATGGCGCCACTCAGTTCACTCCCTATCAATATTGAGGGCAAAATATTTTATTTATTGATTGGGGGAACAGACTTTATTGAAAAGTCCTCTGGAGAATATCCAGAGTTTGGCCACTACAGCTGCAGTGATAAGGCTGTGGGTGAAGTTGGGTCAAGGACCAATGTTTGATCGCACAAAGATTGTTGTTACTCAGTTGATAACTAAACTGTACTTGCATGACCTCTGACCCTGCAGAATGACAAGATGTCCGTTCTGCCCCACCCTGGGATCGACATGCTTCTGTCTCAGAACTTCATTGCAATATTCCAAAGTTAGATGAATGTGGAGGATGTCTTCAACACAATGTTCAAGACATACAGCTAACATAATTACTCAAAACCCATTATTCTTGAACTCATTATGTTTCAAATGACGAACATTACAGAGATAGAAGCTAACATTTTAGTCCACCAGTCTTTATAATGATAACATATTGAAAAAACCTCCAATTGGCAAATTTCTACTAGTTCTTATACCTTAACTATTGGGCAGTTTGGCTAGGACTGCAGGACTAGTACCAATTTCTAACGCTGCATTATTTTTTGTCTTATCCTTTAATGTGAAACGGGAAATATTAGGGAATATTATTTCTTGATGCAATGTTATTTCCTGTTCCTTGCGGACTTGTTTCTTGACATATTTTTGTAGGTCAGAAGAACGTTTGAGTTAGATGGTCCACAAGACATCCAGAATGTGCAATTATGATGATCCCTCTTAATAGTCATGTGTATATGGGGTCTTACAGCCTGAAAACGACCCATCCCACGCCACAATAATGTTCTTCAGATGCCATGTTTAACGTCACAAGGTACACAGCAGTATTCAGTACCATGAATAATGTAATCAGCAGCAAGAAGAGGTCTTTTCTGGGTAGTTTTGAACATAATAAAAGTTAAATTAATCAATTAGATATTTTAGATCAAGAAACATAGTGTATCAGTCAGGGTCCCTCGTTTATATGTGGAACATTGATACTGTGATTAAGACACACTTGTGCCCAGTTCGTGACCAGGGCCACCTTTCCACAAAACAATCTTAGCACTAAGATGGTCGTAATTTCTATATTTTAACATTGCTTGCGATAGTCTTAGCACTAAGATCGCTTTGTTGAACATGGCCCTGAAGTTGGTTATTATTGAAGGAATAGTAAAACTGTCTACAACTGATCACTTCTTTGATAAAAAAGGTTTAGTGATCCTGTGGATGGTTTGATGAACGCAGGCTTTAGAAATGAAGTAAGATGACACACTGTCTGAACCTTTGTCTAGAACATGTAGAAGTTGATATCATTGTGAAGGATTTGTGATGTCTTTGATTGGTATGAGAATGTTCATCCCAAACCTGGATGAGTAGGAGGTTTTCTTGATGTGATCACATTCATTTTGCAATTGTTGATTTGAGATTGTTGTTTGTTGTAAATATAGTTTACATTGTGATGATATTCAAAACCTTGCGTTTGGACACCATATGAATATAATACTTTTGATAGGTGCCAAATTTATTTTGACTTTTGATGTTGTACGATTGCATTGATGATATTGATCATTTACAGTGCTGTGGAAGCACCTGGTGACCATTATGTAGTGCTAGATTTACTTCTGGAAAACCACTTTGAGAGTGTTATCATGGTTATCAGATTCCACTTTTAGGATGTACTCGTGTTTATCATTTCAACATATACTATGGATTTTCTTTTTCAAGCATTTTAAATTACACAAGTTTGACAGAGCCAAAATACATCAGTTTGAGGTCATTATTAATAGTGTGTAGTGTATTTGTGCTAAGTCTTCTCAAGTGCTCTGTTCATTATCTTCAAAATGTGACAATATGAAGGCTCATTCTAACCATGCTAACAGGTGCTTGATGCCAAAATGTAATCAATAGAAATTATAATATGGATAAGAGTTTGAACTGTTTGGGCATCAAGTGACTGAATAGTGTTGTCATGCCGATAGATTCTGATGTTAATGGCAACATGGTATATGTATATATATATCAATCTATATCCACATCACCTTCAATGTCAGTATATATATCTTCCCTCCATGTTCTGATGGGTCCAATAATTCATATTCACATGGAATACCTGGTCATTGAGTCTGTGGGCATCAGTCTATATGTGGTCACTGAAGATCATATAGTGCTTAGATTGATACCTGGGTAATGATTTCAAATTATTTAAAAATGTTGAGTTCAAAGATTAGACGTTTGAAAAAGTTTTACTTTGAAATTTGAACCCATGGGTCGAGTTTTGGCTTCATGTGAAAGCAGGTTTATTTGTTTCAACCTTTGCATGGTTGTTTTTGGTTATGTTTAAGAAATGGTTTATTTTTATGTCATATTTTGAATATTAATAGCAGAAAAAGTTTATTCACAAACATACTGATTTTCTTGTATATGTTGCAGAAGCAACTCGAGATGACAAAAACCCTTGATCATGTCAAGTTTGTAAAGAAGCCTATATCTCTTGTATTGTTGATATCATTGTCCTTATAGAAGAATGTCATCTGGTGATTTATAAGATAATCATTGTTTTTGGATAGCCTAACTTTCAAGAATATTTAAAACATCTGAATTATTAACCATTATTTGAGCCAAAATGGATAAAACATTAAATTATTAATATTGTTAAGTCCTATGTTCATCCTGTATACATTAAAACCTATTAAGATGCCCTTTTGTTTTAGGAGTCCCTGGTGTTCAGTGTCTAAAAGATACTGCTTTTGTTGATGTCTTTTTGTGGCAAACTACAATTTGGTAGAATCACCATGACAACAGTGATGAATGTACAAAGGAAAGGGCAGTTAGTTGTGGCTGGTGGTTCAATTGTTACTTGTTAAAGGAAAGACAACCACACATGTAGATGTGAATCAGTTCAGTCCAGTAATCCATGCATCTCCGTGTCTTGTGACTGTGTTATAGTGTAAAATAAGATCATACATTTCATGAATAAAAGAGAGAAAACATCCCATGTTTTGACTTAATTGAACTTCTGTATGGTGAGGATGTTTTTATGCTAAAGGCAGCTAACACCCTTTGTGATTGCTACCAGTAGCACAGGACATGTTTATCCTTTTCGCAAACACCTGGTTTCATCACTGATTTTCAATGACTCATTCATATAATTTTTATCACTGTTGTGCCTTTCGCGCCCAATGGAGTCTGTTTCGGCAGATAATCGAGATTGATTATACTCTGGTGTTGATGATTTGAATTTACTCATTGAACCCAAGTAGAGAATTGAAGGCAGTTTTGGTTTTTGGTTTGTTGTTTAATGCCGCACCCAGCAATATTCCAGCTATATGACGGCGGTTCATAGTGGTAGCTCTGGTAAGGCTAAAACTGTTTTATTTTGTTTCATCTGGTTTGTAAGTTTGTTCTTTTGCATATTAACCTCAAATCAGCATTTTTTTATTACACTCCTACCTCTCTATCAATCATCTCAACACTCTTGACATATTGATTAATAAACAAGATTAAGAAAATCAGTAACACAAATCAACAAGGTCTAAAATTAACAAGTTCATGGTTATCAAGGAATAATTGATGGTATGACCCAAATACTCCCACAAATTCATATCTTTGCACTCTGTCAACACTGTATACATAGGCACTCAGCAATATTCCAGCTATAAGACGGCATTCTGTAAAAAATCAAGTCAGGACCAGACATTCCAGTGATTGATATAATGAGCATTGTTCCACGCAATTGGGATCGATGACATGCATCAACCAAGTCATCGAGTCTGACCACCCGATCCCGTTAGTCGCCTCTTACGACAAGCATAGTCGCTTTTTACGGCAAGCATGGGTTGCTGAAGACCTATTCTACCCCGGATCTTCAGCAGATTTGGACATGCGTTACACTAGGCTACCTCACTGTACCAAATTGCAGCTAGGCATCACACTTCACAAAAGTCCTCCTATGTAACGACTGCCTGTAAACTGTTGAGTCTGGACCAGACAAACCAGTGATTAATAAGAGCAGCAGTCACTGAGCTTGACAAAGGATGACATGGTAAATATCACAGATTGTGACTACTGTTTGTTTGTTGTTTAACCCACACTCAGCAATATTCCAGCTATATGATGGCGGTCTGTAAATAATCGAATCAGGACCAGACTGTGCAATGATTGTTATATCATGAGCATCAGTCTATGCAATTTGGATGTGATGCATCAACCATGTCAGCGAGGCTGACCACCCGATCCTGTTGGTCGCCTCTCACGACAAGCATGGGTTGCTGAAGACCAATTCTGATCTGGAATCTTCACAGGATTGTGACTTTTGACCAGTTGGGGATTCCAGATGGAATTGGTCCTGGGTGACCAACGCTTGTGGTAGGAGGCCACTAAATGGATCAGGTGGTCAGGCTTGGTGACTGTGTGTTAAATGTGTGTAATAGGAATCACTGTCTGATTCTCATCTCATTCAGCATGTCATGACCACTACAGACGCCACATGACCATGACACGCCTTCTTGACAATTATTCGGCTGGATGACAATGAATCCACAAGCCATCAATACAGGGGACATATCAAGATATTTCACTTTGCTATTTTGAAACCAATTCGATAGGTTGCATTCAGTGTATTTTTATCCTGTTCAAATGTGAAATTATGATTTAACAATACTCATTATCGTAAGAGTGCAGGGAATCGTATATAGACTGCCTGATCGGTGTTAAACCACCAATAAAAGTTTTGTAACAAAATGAGGGATCGTCAGCATGTCGTATTAGAGACTAGCAAGCTAAGGCAATCAACGCTCAAGTTTATTTGCTGTAAACATTACTTTCGTCAGGGGAAGCATAAGAGACATAATATGATACATTTCAAGTGGCTGGCTATTCCTGTGGACTGTGTCATCTTTCATAAATGAAAGAAACGCACGAATCGCATAGGCGGATCCAGACGGGAGGTTGAGATGGTGGTGGTCCAGGGACATGCGCACAAATGAGCGGACGTTGTTCTTCCTGTAGACTGTGATTAGCATAATGGTGATAGCCGATTTTACCAATGTTTCAGTTATCAATTGGTGTGTCAACCTGATGTGGAGGAAAGACAGACACGGTCATGGCGCGAAAAACTAGAATACCGTAAATCCGAATAGACGCTGGAGCGTTTGTTTATTTCACTCTGTGAGTGTGTCAGACTCTGCGTGTATTCAAGGCAGGCGTCTATTCAAGGACTTACGGTAATAATCGGGCTTCGAACCCACCACCTGTGGGTGATGTACTGGTAAGGGACATAGCGCTCCGTATACCTCGTGAAGACTAACACAAAACAAACCAGTCCCACTCAAACGACTAAAACTTGAACGGAATTCAAGAAACATTTTCTGAATATGACGATCTTCAATGGATCCTCAAAATGTATTCGTTATATCCGAAATTTGTTATTCACATAAAGAAAAAAGATACTGTAATTCCTGGTGATTATACGACGTGCTATACCTGGGATACTGTTTAAAGCGGCGTCACACCCAACTCACCCATTCCTTAGGCATTGCTCCAGCAAATCACCGAGCCTGACCAACACATCCATATATTTCCATCTTACGACAAACAGTAGACTGATGGGGACATAGTCTAACTACGGGTTCGATATATCAGACTTCGTTATAACAGGAATTGTCTGCTATTTATATATCCAGAATGTTCCCTGGGAAATATAAGCCCGTGTTTCTCAGTGTCCGAAATGCACCTAAACCAACTAAGATTTGTCCTTGAAAAACATACGCGCCAGTAGGCTCGCTTATTTTAGGAAAGAGTGGATTACAATCAGCTTTATAATCTACTTAGATGCATCGGTCACATTCACTGCGTTTTTAACACAGAGTTTATTTTTTAAAGTCATGTAACTGGAACCTTCACTCCGATATCGCACAGTCATACGGAAACGGTCGATTTGTGCCGAATGATACTGTGATCCCATCGACAACAATCGTGACTTGAATACAGTCTAGTGACCGACTTTACGTTCATTGTTTTCAGTCTTTGTTCAAAAGGAGGTCGTTTCTTTACCGAAAAATGATACTTTCCCGACAGGGTAAACAGTCCCATATAAGTGTCATCAGCGAGTCAGCATCTTATTGAAAACTGACATCAACATCTTCGCATCAAAGGCGTTGCAAGCCGAGATACCTGGGGTCATACTGTAATAGCCGAATGTCGCTTAAACGTTCGTCGGAGCTAGCGTGCAAGGAATGCATATGTTCAATTTCAGCTCACACTGCGAGGGTATTTCTAAATTCCATTGTATGACAGGACGTATTGATGATACACACAGGAGTTAAAATGTAGTTGTTTAAAGTACATGGTGTCCCCGTGTCTTGAGAGTGACGCCTTTGTGGACATAAAACGACAGTGTTAACAGTGTTATTACTGCAGTATGTCATGTAGACACGCCTTGAGAGGCAAATGCGTCATCTTCATTTTTAGACGCACGATTCAGACACACAAAAATATATCATTAGATTGTTTATGTGACCTATATTTTTCTGGTCTACATTTTACCTTTACGACATGTAAATAAAATGGTGTCATTTATTATCTCCATACATGGAGGCTGACACACGGCACCCCAATACGTGGCAGTCAAGGTCAAAGTATAATACAGGTTTAAGGCTGAACATTGCGAACCGTATTTGTTATTAGAATTACGCTACTCAAAAGATGATGTTTTCTACAGTTCTTCATGTCCGTCGTCATAATTCACAGCACAGAGTGGCATCGTATATTCTGTGTGTCTATGATTGTTGGACTGTTGGTACTGTGCCTGTGTTCGTTGCTTTCACCAGAGTGGCTATCGTCAAAACGAACTGAAATACTGTGGACGTTTTTTCATATTGAGCCGACACGCCGTGGTCTATAGCGTACCTTAGATGTGCCAGGATCTGCCTATTCGTGGTATATAGCGTCCCTTAGTTGTGCCAGGATCTGCTGATTCGTGGTATATAGCGCCCCTTTCTTGTGCCAGGATCTGCTGATTCGTGGTATATAGCGTCCCTTACGTGTGCCAGGATCTGCTTATCGGTGGTTTAACCCTATATTTATGATCACTAGCCTGTCAGCACCATACCCGTCTTCGGTACTTTCACCCAATGGCAAATTAGTATGCGAACCGCACAACTATTGGTGTTTTTCGATATTAAACTTGCAAGCCTTGATTTAGCTCTTATGGTACTCAAAACATTTTTAAACCCAACCCACTCACTTATGTTACGGGAGAAGGCATTATAACGTTCTGACAATAAAACTGCATAGGGCGACTTACAACGCCTTCTGGACTTAACTCTTGACCTATTTTAGAAAATACGAGTCTTCCAAACCACCAACTGGTGACATTCCAGCTAGTGGGACATTAACATTCCACAGCCAACTTTGTGTCTGCCCCGGGCCTGGTCGGGTATTACTAACACACTGAAAGTGCTGGGGATAGCGAGGTAGTCTAGTGGTTAAAGTTGGTTGTTGGTTGGTTTGTGGTTTAACAATATTCCAGCTATATGACGGCGGTCTGTAAAATAATCGAGTCTGCACCAGACAATCCAGTGATTGGCAGCACGAGCATGCAATTGGGATAGAATGCCATGCATCAACCAAGTCAGCGATCCGATCCCGTTAGTCGCCTCTTACGACAAGCATAGTCGCCTTTTACGACAAGCGTGGGTTGCTGAAGACCTATTCTACCCCCGGATCTTCACGGGTCTAGTGGTAAAAGCGTCAGTTCGTCACGCCTAACAGTGTAAGACCGGGTTCGCTTCCACACTACAACCAACAGGCTCTTGTGTTGTCGCTTGAATGTTTCTAGATCAACATACGTCACGAGTGTCAGATATATGAGTGATCTTAAATATGTTCACACGGATACATACATGCATAGGTGCATTTCTGACCCTCGTGGGGGCGGTCGGGTAGCCTAGTGATTAAAGCGTTCGCTCGTCACGCGGAAGACCCGGGTTCGA